GAGAAAAAGAAATCCTTGTAAAGGGAGAGAACAATAAATGATCAAAAAGTTACCAATTGACATTGCAATTTCATTTTGAAAATCAAAGTTATCTGGAAAGCAAGAAACCTGAATAGAGTTCCACAAAAGTGATAACTTACAATTACATCTATTTCAACTCTAAATTGATGAGACCTTGCCGCCAATCTAGTACTGCGTGTAAATTTATCAAGTCTAGGTACTAAAGAGGAAAACTCATCACAATGTGTTATGGGATCTTACCCATAATAATAATAATAATGGACTATTCCATACTTAATAAATACTGTGCCTCAGGAGTAGGCAAGGAGTCAGTAGTCAGTAGTTCAAGTCGAGTCAAGAGTCGAGTCAGAGGCAGTCTGAAATAGAGTCGCGTTCAGACAATTACTGCAAGACATTGGAATAGTGATACTGGTCGAGACTACATTGTTCTCTCTACTAAACATAATTGTTTATACTAACACTTCTACTTCTTTGTATATATTCCTGTTTGTAATATATCCTTGTTATTCCATATCCATATTCGAGTTCTTTTTTATTGGTTCTACCTTGGACTATCACCGTGGTACAAGGAATCGGACCATAACACAATGATTACCATGAACATATTCATAGAAGAGGCACAGGGAAGCTATGTTACGACAGGGGGGTGGAATTAATTAACTGTGGTCGTAATGCCTGGACAGGGTCATTTACATTGCCGATTGTATTTTATTATAGTTCTCTAAAAGCATAACAGAAGCACCAGACGATTTCTGACTGCATGGATGAATGGTAGCTTATAAATGTATATAAAATTGTCTGACACAGTGAAGCAGCTTTTCAAGCAGCAGATCTTGCCATCAATTCAGTTTAACATTGTTTGTGATTCGTTTTCCTTGCAGCAAACCTTCCTATCCTGGGTATAACAATTAAGATGAAAAGTGGGTTCTCTTCAATCATTTACTCCGAAATCAACAATGGATACTATTCACTGAAAAAGAAGAAACCATCCCCAAACAAGAAAATACACTCGAAGAAGTGATGCTTTGTATTTAGTGGGATATATAGGGAGTTGTCAGTCATAAAGTTCTAAACCAAAACGAAGAGGCATTGTCGAAAAATGGTTCGTTTTGTTTGGTTTACGGTATATCAACCTGCAGGGTTTTTTTTAATGTCGACAAGATTTTTTATTGCTGGTAATATTTTTTTTTTCAAAATGTATGCAACTAATATCTTCAGAATTAATATTTTCAAAAAATATTTCGCAGGTTAATATCTTTTTTCAAAAAAAATACATTGCTGGTAATATCGCTTCCATCAAAAATGTATTGCTGGCAATATCTTTTTTCTTCAAAAATGTATTGCTGGTAATATTGTTTCCATCAAAAATGTATTGTTGGTAATATCGCTTCCATCAAAAATGTATTGCTGGTAATATTGTTTCCATCAAAAATGTACTGCTGGCAATATCTTTTTTCTTCAAAAATGTATTGCTGGTAATATTGTTTCCTTCAAAAATGTATTGCTGGTAATATCGCTTCCATCAAAAATGCATTGCTGGCAATATCGTTTCCATCAAAAATGTATTGCTGGTAATATCGTTTCCTACAAAAATATATTGCTGGCAATATCTTTTTTCTTCAAAAATGTATTGCTGGTAATATCGTTTCCCTCAAAAATATATTACTGGTAATATCTTTTCTCTTCAATAATGTACTGGTATTATCTTTTTCCTCAAAAATGTATTTCTGGTAATGTCTTTTTCCTACAAACATATATTGCTGATATCTTTCGTCTTCAAAATGTATTGCTGGTAACAGATTTTTCCTTAAAAAATGTATCGCTGGTACTAATATTTCTTCAAAAATTCATTACTGGTAATAATTTTTACAAAAATGTATTGGTGTTATTAAAACCTATTTTTATACTTTCATAGTGTTTTGACCCCTTTTGGGGTGTTTACTATTCTCCCATAGCTGGGACTATAACCAGTGTCACCACTCCAAGTCAGGGTGGGCCTGGGATAACACCAATTAAGAGGTGGTTCCCCACCCCTCAAAACCTCCTGATCAGAAGCCTTGCAGTTGGATGTTGTTAATCGTCTTATCCAGGGCGCGTCGATAACTGGAAGTATTGGACAAAAGTATATGATATAAACGCAGGTCATTGGATAATCGTAAAGGCGTGTTGCTCTTACACGATAATATATGAATACGTATTGCATGAATCACCCAATAAAATACTACAGAACTAAATATGGACGTACGCCTCATCCTGTTTACTCCCCGTAGAAATTAATGGATGGCAGCTGGGATTTAGAGATTGGAGAGAGTTCGAACTCAAGTCGTGTTGCTTACGTGTTAACTTCCTTGTGAAAGGTATGAATCCATCTTATCTCACCTTTAGCTATTGATAAATAGCAAGAACGACTGGGTTCTATAGTCTTGGTTGGCTTCGGGTATAGAAGAAGACCTGAGGGACTAATGTACGGACTGAGGAAAACCACGTCGTATTCCGTGGTCTTTGACCGCCGGTCAAGAATTTGAAGAGGAGAAGAGCCCACTGAAAGGATCACAGGGAAGAGGATTCAAAAACTGGTTCTTTCTGTTTTCACGCCTTCCTCCCCTGGCGTTTGAAAGAGTCGAGGAACTGATGATGAGGAGGACTTATTCTCCTGACCTTGCTCAGTCTGACTAGAATCTTTTTTGATCCTTGTAACATTTTTAACTCAAGGACTGTTTCTCAGCGTTTCTTTGCTTCGAAAACTGCTGAACCTTACACCCGAGAATTCAATAATTAAGTAGGTGGCGTTTATGTGATCGATAATACGGGGGATTATTATCTTGATTGAATATTATAAGACAATATTGATTTCTGTCAATTTTTCTGAGTTTAGGTATTGTAATTATTTACATTATTTACATTGTTCGGACTGTTGTCCTCATCTTTATTGCCATATTCCCGTGGAACTAAAACAATCTACCACATGTACAAAATAAAGGGTCCAGATCCTGAAGAAGGATTTATGAAGTAGTGACAAGACTGTTTAAACACTTCTTTCTTTCTTTCTTTCTTTCTTTCTTTCTTTTTTTTCATTCTTTCTTTCATTTTCTGACTGAAAGCATGTTGTGTCTTTTACCCTATTTCCACGCGATCAAAATGGAATAGTCTATTATTTATGAGGTATTGGCAAGGTGTAAAGGTCGTGTGAACTTAAAAAGTGAATAACACTTATAATAGCATAATTGTTATTTGTTTAAAGTTGATAGGCACTTTTTATATAATCACAGACCTCGCAATGAACTTATCCAATCGTTAAGAATCATGATTGAGCGGTAAACTCAAATAAGGAAAACGCGAAATTCTCACGGCTTCTGAGTGATTCAATCACTTTTACGGGTTATCAACCTTTTGCAGGTTATTTCAAACCAGAAAATACATTGTAAGAATTTGTTCTTTGCAGGGGGGGTAATAATGACGTAATGATTCAGGTCTTACTGATAGCTGGGGGGGGTCATAAATTTGGACATTATCTGGTCGTCTTGAGAGAAGACTGGATGGAACATATACAAATCTACTTAGAAAAATCTAGAACATCAATTGAAGATACCATGGAACTCTTAACACAATTTACGGAGAACGGAGACCAATTTCTCTTAAGTTCAAACAAAAACGATTACAGTTTTCCGGCCACTGCCACCGAACGGACAGGGAAATCGTCTTGTACTTACACCCATGGCATCCTTCTGGGAGTGTCTTCTCACGAAAATTGACTTTCCCAGACACCATTGCTCGGGATTCAGGGTTGGATATTGGGGATCTGGATACAGCAATCCAAGATGGAACCGTGTGAAATGGGATTGGCAAGAATAAGTCATCACACACAATGTCGTGTAATTGTTTTTTTTTTTTTTAACTATTGGCTTAACAAGGAGAACTGGGTATTATCAGATTACAATGTGAATAAAAAAGATTATATAATAACCTCCTTTGAACCATCCGACTTGAAGTCACTCAGTATTACACCCATCAAAAGAGTTGAAGTTTTATCTTGGATGTTACATAATAGATTCCGAAAAAGATTTCAATATCCGCAAATCGTAGCAAAATGTTAGAATATCATATATATTTTAGAATCTTTAACCATATCACCGAAATGATGTCATAAATCTTTCAATGTCGTAAACATTTTGGAAGAGCTTGCTATTTTCATTTCAATGACAATAATTTGGCGATATTTCTACAAAGCGATACCAGAAGCCCCCGCAAGAGAGAACGAAACTAAAGAATACAACAATGCGTCACCCTTAATGAAACAATTAAAATATCATCTGCTAATTGGGGCCAAGAGAAAATACCACAGATTGACATCTACGCTAATGTCTCATATTACTACTACCCCTATCTTGGTCTGACTTCCACAAAGCTCTTGTATAGGATGCGTGCAACAAACTTCACAAGATTTGGCGTTCGATTCTTCCATCCTCCTTAAAAGTCCAAACCTTTCGAACATTTACTGAACCAGTCCTACTGTATGGATCAGAAATTTGGACATTATCTGGTCGTCTTGAGAGAAGACTGGATGGAACATATACAAATCTACTTAGAAAAATCTAGAACATCAATTGAAGATACCATGGAACTCTTAACACAATTTACGGAGAGCGGAGACCAATTTCTCTTAAGTTCAAACAAAAACGATTACAGTTTTCCGGCCACTGCCACCGAACGGACAGGGAAATCGTCTTGTACTTACAGCCATGGCATCCTTCTGGGAGTTTCTTCTCAGGAAAATTGACTTTCCCAGAAACCATTGCTCGGGACTCAGGATTGGACATTGGGGATCTGGGAACAGCAATGCAGGACCGAACAATGTGTAAAGCGATTGTCAATGGAGTTCCAACCAACCATAGGGAGGTCGAAGGATGATGATGATGAATAGCTGGAGACGGGATTTTCGGATTCATACCTTTCCCGAGGACATTTGTCTGTAAGTGAATATAACACCTGATATTCCCAAACGGTCACTCATCTAGGTAATAACCAGACACGACATTGCTTAACTTCTGCGATCGTACGGAATCCGGCGTTTCAACTTGATGTAGCTGTAAACCGTACCATAATTGGTACTCGGCTCTCCGATTACCAATTGCATCACCTCTGTAGCCTGCTATTTAACCCATAGAAGGGGAGAAGATGTGGATTCATGTCTATCCCAAGAACGTTTGTATAAAACACTAGGATGGATTTTGATTCAAATTTCTGTGCCAGTAAGCCTTATGCCACTTGCATTTGAATTTCTGACGCATTACAGACTTCACCCTCAGGAAGTTTGAGAATTGAAAATGATGACAAATGCCCTTTATAGAAAAAGAAATTAAAAACGCCATATTGCTGCATGAAAACTTTTTTCTTACCACAGAATCTTCAGATATTCATTTATAGATTCCTTGTCTGGTTAAAAATTTAAAGATGTCTTCATTCCGTCAAAGCCACGAATGATTCATTCATTTTTACGGCTTATCAACCCTTCGTTGGTTATTTAAAGCCAGAAAATATTATTTTAGATTGTAATGATTTTTAATAGTAATGACCGTTTAGTGATACAACTCTTACTAATTAACCTGTACCTGGGGGAGAATATCTACTTTATAGTAAGTAGATCATTTGTCATATATTTATCGTATTATACAGGAATATATACGATAAATTCATATAGAATATTTTGAGACAAGAGTACGTTTTTTGTTGATTGGCTGGTTGGTTGCTTGTGTTTAGCGGCATGTCAACACCTCTATGGGTTATTTAATGCCGAAATCTGAATATTTTGTACGCAAATTTATTTTTTATCTCTTGGAGATAATAATGGTTTTATTGATACAAGTTTTACTAATTAATCCGTAGCTGGGGGAGAAAAGGTGGATCCATAATTGTTATACCCGAACACTACCTATTCTACTGTAATAGACTCTCCCACACATAATAAGTAGTAGTAGTATTAGCAGTCGCCAGTTGGGCTCAGTGGAGTTGAGTGAGTCAGTCGATGTCGGACTTTGATGTATCAACCACCCCAACTAGATTGCTGCGTCATTAACTATTATTTCAAGTTCCTAACGTTTTGTACGTCGGACCCTTTTAGCACCGACTTAGCGAAATGCAAGCCCCCACTGTGAAAACTACTCTACAACAATAATTTTTCCACGTAAAGGAATATAACGAACCCAACTGGAGTTGAAACTCGACTCTCTGATTACTAATTCCGTGCCATTATCCGTAGCACCGTCCTCACATCAAATCTTACAGTCCTTGGTTTTCCCAAGTGGTCACCCATCTTGGTAATGACCAGGCTCAACGATGCTTAATTTCGGTGATCGTACGGGAACCTGCATTTCAAGAGGGCGTGGCCATCAATCCTCACCGGTTCTATTCGTATCAATTAATACTGAATAGATTTTTTTTGTCTTCTATTTCTTCCTTCAAATGCTAATGTCTTTTGTTTCCAATCGAATGTTTATGTATGGAGGACATTCATAGCTCTTAGTTGTAATAATGGCGGGCAAGATTAGGAAATTTTGAATCTGGAAGCCGTTGTCAAAGAATGATGGACAAAAATCAATTACTGGTTATGCATTATTTTCATCGTTTCTAATTACATTTTTCGTATATGTTTATAAAATGTCCTGGCGTATGGACACAGCTGTTTCGTTCATCTTGAGGAGTTGCTAATTCGTTATATAAATTAAGACATATGGAAAAATATATATGCACCAATATTTCCATTTTTATCTCCAAGACTGGCATTAATATTTGTCATGATCAGATTCCGGGTGATTCGCAGAGAAATTATTTTTCAGGGGTTTTTCGATAGAGTGAAAGAATAATGAATAACACAAACAGAAATAAAACACATTTTGGCAAAGAAATGCGATAAAAAATGAATTGTAATTTACGTAATGATCACATGGACATGTTCTCAGGCTAACATCGAGATACCCACCATTTCAAAACTAGTTCGCATCCCACGTAAAATCATATATATATATATATATATATATATATATATATATATATATATATATATTACATGAATCATTCATACAAAAACAGATATAGAAGTTAATGATAAGAATGGCGAGAATACGTCTTCGCAAACAAATTTAATAAAGTACATTAACCCTGAACCTATAGATGAATGTTATGAGCCCTGTTAATAAATTCCAGTTGCATAAGGTCTTTTTTAGTTTTTTACAAGCTTTCGTCTGTTCCTACAGACATCCTCAGGTGTGGAAATAGATTTGTTTTAGTTTTTTAATTCTTGGTAATAAGAGGACAACGAAAATAGAGATGTAATCCGAAATATGTTTTTAGAAATGTGTTATTGTTAATTGTAAGAATATTTTTAGAGCGTGCGGTCGCAACTCTGAGGCTGAATTTTTAAATTTTAAGATTGTGCGTTCTTGTACTATATTTTTGTGAGATTCCTGTATTTATTGTACAATTTACTTCATGGGACATTGACTGAAAAACCTACTAGTACAAAAGAATTCTCCTATTACCATATTAGTACAAGAACGCACAATCTTAAAATTTAAAAATTCAGCCTCAGAGTTGCGACCGCACGCTCTAAAAATATTCTTACAATTAACAATAACACATTTCTAAAAACACTTTTTAGGAGTACATCGATATTTTCGTTGTCCTCTTATTACCGAGAAGTAAAAAACAAGAACAAATCTATTTCCATACCTGAAGATGTCTATAGGAACAGTTGAAAGCTTGTAAAAAAACTAAAAAAGACCTTATGCAACTGGAATTTATAAACAGGGATCATATCATTCATCTACAGGTTTGGGGTTAATGTACTTTATTAAATTTTTTTGCGAAGATTTATTCTCGCCATTTAAATCATTAACTTCTATATCTGTTTTTTTTGTATGAATGATTCATGTAATGTAAAATTGAATTGCACCACATACTATATATATATATATATATATATATATATATATATATATATATATATATATATATATATATATATATCCGATGCGATTTGAACGAAAGTAATATATAAATTCCAACGTTCACAGCATTAATCCAAAAGGGGGCTCGATACCGATAGTAGAGCGATAATTATTTATTTATTATAATTCTATCATATAGACAAAACCATTTAACTCACTCCAAAGATGCAACTTGGTTTCAGTGCATTTCAACTGCACTACGACGGGTTAGAATCGAAAATGTTTCACGTCGAAGTGCAGTTGAAATGCACTGAAACCAAGTTGCATCTTTGGAGTGAGTTAAATGGTTTTGTCTATATGATAAAATTATAATATATATATATATATATATATATATATATATATATATATATATATATATATATATGGTAATATTAGCCGTTTTCTTACAAGAAACTGTTTGGTATTCATCGACCGATCAGCGAGTACTGTTGACAATCAAGAAGCCTTATACTAAAGAGTATCTTCATAAAAACAGTTTTTCTAGATGTTCGACAAAAAGTTACGATTGTTCTCTTCCCCTGAATGTTTTAAAGATACCAACTTTATAAACTGCTACCTCATCGACCTCTCAAAATAAAAAACGTATGATCAATCATTGAATTAAAATAGAAGACAATGCCGAAGATAAGGAAGATGTCTGGGAAGCAATAAAGTTGATTCAAGTAATGTTAATAGAAAAAGTAGAAATGTCGAAAAAATCAGTGAGCAAAAGCTGGTGAAAAGGATGTTAACGAATATACAGGGCGCCGCCTAAAAATTCGACATCATTTTCTGGTCTAATAGCATGGCCGATTCTCAAATTTTAATAAAATTTATAAAAACTAAGTCTACTGTTCGGATTTATCTCAATGAAAATCTATCGAGCAGATGGATCGGGCGTGCCAGTGATAAGGACAATGTGCTGTTGGAATGGCCACCACGTTCACCTGACTAGAATAATTTGAAACACCAAATAACCGTTAGGATAATAACAATACACCTTGCTACCCATAATGCACTATTGACCAAACTATATAAATAGTCAAGCCAAAACACAACACACATGGCGTGAAGATTGCTTTCAACCACAAAGAAGACCGCCAACGCTTGGTGTTGACTTCAGTATTCACTTTTAAAATTACATACACTATATAGAACACCTTAAACTATATACGTGTGTGTATGTCTGTGTGTATGTCTGCGTGTTGATAATAATTGGGATGCTTATGTTTTATTATGTATTGGCATATATATATATATATATATATATATATATATATAATATAGAAGTATAGTCTTAAGATGTGCCATATTTATGGGATAAAGTGCTCAATATCAGAGATAGAGCGTGTGTAAATATAAAAGTGAACATTAAAGTCAATACTTAGAGGGGACAGTCTGTTTCATGCTATATGCAATCGTCAGGACACGTGTGCTATATATATATATATATATATATATATATATATATATGTGTGTGTGTGTATATATATATATAATATATATATATATATATATATATATATATATATATATATATATATATATATATATATATATATATATATATATATATATATATATATATATATATATATATATATATATATATATATATATATATAATGAAAACTCATCATCGAAGAATTCGGTAATAAATTTATCTCGAGAGATAAGTTTTAATATCTGCTTCATCAGACAAAAATTTAGCAGACATTAAAATTTAGAAATAAAAAATTGACCAGACAGTGAAATTTAGAAAAAAAAAAAAATCTTAAAACGATATTTCAGGAAATTAGGTTTATTTTCTCTTCGATTTCCAGGTACTATTCGTTTTAGCTATTGCTGCTAATATTGCTAGTTCTCAAGCGATGTTGTTTCTGTTATTTTTATAGGTTTTATATGATTCTGTAGCGCCCAGACCTACACTGACGTACATTGTTTCAAATAAAAACGGATGTCTTTTTCAACTACGAGTATCCAGTAAAAATAGCAATTTAAATCTCAGATTAAAAATACTTTCATTGGTTCATTAGAAATATATTATATATACATAAAGGGTGTCCTTCAAAATAAATAAAATAAGAAACAAAAAATAAAAATAAATAAAAACAAGCAAAATAATTTAACCCAAGTAAATAAATAAACGACTTCCGGTAAAATAACCGCCATAATAGACTACCCACAATGCACCACTGACCCGTATATATATAAATAGTAGAGAAAAATAACAGCGCACGTGGCCTGACGATTGCATATATCATGAAACAGACTGTCGCCTTTAAGTGTTGACTTCTATGTTCACTTATATATATATATATATATATATATATATATATATATATATATATAATTTAAATAAAAACAGACCACTATAAGGTTCCATGGAACCTTAAAGTGGTCTGTTTTTATTTAAATTATTGCTCTGGTTTTACATTGAGCTCTCTGGATTTTATCCTCCTTAGGTTTACCCAGACGGGTTACCTAGTTTTTCATAAACTATATATATATATATATATATATATATATATATATATATATATATATATATATTAAATGCATGTTTATAAATATTCAAATTAAATATATATATATATATATATATATATATATATATATATATATATAGAGAGAGAGAGAGAGAGAGAGATGTATAACTGAGATAGATATGAATAGACTGTGATGAAGAATATAGAGATTGGACAGAAATGCTAAAAGCCACAGCCAACAAATCATTCTATAGGAGTTTGTCTGTTTCTGCTGCCATTCGGTCCCTTCTTGATGGTTTCAGCCGTCAAGGGAGTTATGCTTATAATGATGAATAATAGCATATCGTATATTTGTGATGTGATGATCGTGTGCACGATCTGCAGTAAGTTTCAATGAGTGAAAAATTAACATACGAGAGAGTGTGATGCATGAGCAGCCAATGTTAGAAGCTAATATTGTTTGGTGATTATGAGTATTATATATATATATATATATATATATATATATATATATATATATATATCAGTGTTATATTTATATATGTCTATATTTCTGAGATGTGGTATTATGTACATTATTTACATTATTCGGACTATTGTCCTCATCTGGATTCTGTGCGTCTATGTTGCAATTATCTATCTATATTTCTGAGATGAGGTATTATGTACATTATTCGGACTATTGTCTTCATCTTTGTAACCATATTTATTACAACGTTTCGGCCTTTCAGTGTGTGTCTCTATTTCTGAGATGAGGTATTATGTACATTATTTACATTATTCGGACTATTGTCCTCATCTTTGTCGCCATATTTATCACAACGTTTCGGCCGTTGTACGCTCCGGCCTTCTTCAGGTGGTTGGAACTGAACCCTTTATTTCGCTCACTGGGGTAGACTGTTCTAGTTCCAC